AAACCACAAGGCTCAGGGTGTAAGGTGTGAGTTTATTATTCTGGGATAAATCCATCAGGGTACAATTTCCTCCATATAAATCAAACCCTTAAACATACGGTGAACAGTGTTTAAACCCCGAAACATATGGTGAACAGTGTTAAAACCCCGAAACAATTGGTGAACAGTGTAAATCATTCACCAGGTTGAGGCACATGGTACACCGCAGTTATCAACTCCTACTTCAAGTAGGGGCCTATACAACCCTGCTTCACATCACACAATGCAAATCAATTCAAATCAAATCAATACAAATCACAATGTTTAATTTACTTGTCCTTGGATATCCAATTGCAATCTGTGTGTTTACTTCGTAGACCTCGCGTCATTACAACAAAACATTGATGGATGTTGTCGGCAACCACAGGGAGAAATAGCATCAGCACCTCAGCAACAAGAGCAGCTCCATCCTTCAGCTGGTGAAGTTGATCAAAGTCAAGGACCGCTTTCTGCAACTACAAGTCTACAGGTTCCGCGAACATCAGCCATGACACCAGCATCCACAAGTACAGCTTGTGTTGTTCAGAAAACAACAAGTCTACAGGTTCCGGAAACATCAACCCTGACACCAGCATCCACAAGTACAGCTTGTGTAGTTCCGAAAACAACAAGTATACAGGTCCCGGGAACTTCAGCCATGACACTAGCGTCAACAAGTACGACTTGTGTTGTTCCAAAAACAACCAGTCTACAGGTTCCGGAAACAACAGCCCTGACACAAGCGTCCACGAGTGCCACTTGTGTAGTTCCGAAAACAACCAGTCTACAGGTTCCGGAAACAACAGCCCTGACACCAGCCTCCACGTTGTCTCGTCTGCCCCAAATACAAGCATCTATTGTATCAGAGAGACAGTCATTCGGGTTGCCGCTAGTGCCAGTGTCTGGTGGTTCTTCTACAGGTGAGTACTGTTATATATACGTCAGGTATCTTGTACAGTTCTACAGGTGAGTACTGTTATATATACGTCAGGTATCTTGTACAGTTCTACAGGTGAGTACTGTTATATATACGTCAGGTATCTTGTACAGTTCTACAGGTGAGTACTGTTATATATACGTCAGGTATCTTGTACAGTTCTACAGGTGAGTACTGTTATATATACGTCAGGTATCTTGTACAGTTCTACAGGTGAGTACTGTTATATATACGTCAGGTATCTTGTACAGTTCTACAGGTGAGTACTGTTATATATACTTCAGGTATCTTGTACAGTTCTACAGGTGAGTACTGTTATATATACTTCAGGTATCTTGTACAGTTCTACAGGTGAGTACTGTTATATATACATCAGGTATCTTGTACAGTTCTACAGGTGAGTACTGTTATATATACTTCAGGTATCTTGTACAGTTCTACAGGTGAGTACTGTTATATATACTTCAGGTATCTTGTACAGTTCTACAGGTGAGTACTGTTATATATACTTCAGGTATCTTGTACAGTTCTACAGGTGAGTACTGTTATATATACTTCAGGTATCTTGTACAGTTCTCCAGGTGAGTGTTGTGACTCGATCAGTTAGGTTCAGTTATGGAATACCTTCAAACAGTTTTTTTAAAAAGAGGATGTTTTGTTAAAATGTGGAACTACAGTTACATACACCAGTGCCTGAAACAAAAGGATTAATTTGATGAGAACAATTCTGAAGAGTGATAGAGTATGCTTTTATGTCACCGTGACGAGCGAATGCTTTTAGGAAAAGACTACCCCATCGCCACCATTTTTGTAGAAATCAATCTCCCAGACATAAGACCTCGGACAACGCATGGAAGGGATGGTATGCTGGATTTATCATTGTGTACAGACACATTTATAACCAAACGCTGAAAGACGCTTCATTGAACACACTTGACCGTAAAGGAGATAATTATCATGAGACGTTTGCAACTTGTTTACATGACTTAAGTATGCTGCAGGTGAATATTGTCGCCCAGTCAGTGCATGGCCCAGTCGGTTCAAACTTCACAGTTTAGGTAACATTAACACTATGTGGTCATCGTGTCATTCCACAACTTATAGCTTGTTATGGACGGTACCGTCGTACCGTGTGATCGTTTCTGCGGTGGGTCCAGAATGGTATAGGGTTGCATCACAATGACTGGCCGAAATGTCCCCATATTGTCGATTCAGCATGACAGTCCAATACTATCGGGAAAACATCTTGTGATGTGTTGGGCATTTGTCAAGATGATAACGCATGTGCTCATCGTGCCAGGATTGTGACACAAGTCCTCCAAAGCGAAACATCCAGCACTATGTCCTGACCTTTCCGCCACCGAACACGTCTGGGTGGTCATAAGTAGACTTACACGTGATAATCCGTCCAACTCTCAGTGAACACAGTGCTGCCCTCAATCACTCGATCTTAGATATACTACCACACATCTAACCAGGTAGTCAACTATTATAAAATATACAATAAATCCTGCACAGTGAAAGTTCATTATAGTACTTGTTTTCAGAATCAGTAGTAGAATCTAAGTTCAAACATGGAACACATCTATGCAAGTTTCAGTCATGTGGTTTCTGTTACAGTCACACAGTACAATTTTATCCAAGTACAGCAGCAGTTTGGAGATGTGACAGTGAAGGGAGGCGAGAATCTGAACATTGGCGGAACTCAGAATGTCGGTACAACTCCGACCAAACAGGAAGAAGAGGAGAAGACACCGACTGCAGCACAGAAGATCAGGAGTGAGTTATTTGACAGATTGTCTCATCTGCTGGGATCTGAAGCTGTTGAAAAATGATTTTGTCTCCACTGGACAGGACAGTTTGCAAGCTGTAAATATAGTAGTGTAGTATCTCTCTCACTCTCTTGACACATATTAAACTTTCTAATTTGGGTGTAAAAATCTAACGTTTGTTCACTTGTACTCAGATTTTATGCATAGTTAAAAGTGTTAAATGTGCCCTGTTTCCACAGAAAGGACGGCATCCAGGATACAGTCGTGGACTAAAGACATGGTGGAAACAAAAGCCCTCAAGAAAGTGATAGAGAAACTAGACAGAGGAGCCACATGGGTGACAATTAAAGGAAGACCAGGAGAGGGGAAGTCCACAATAGCCTACATGGCTCTCAAAGACCAGTACAGTCAGGGGAGACAAGTATACCAAGTGGTGTCACCAGCAGAGTTCAATGAGGTCATAATGGCCTGCTCTAATCCTGTCATTCTGTTAGATGACATATTTGGTGATTTGGAATTCGACACAGCTGAGTGGGCTAAGTGGAGACCAAGTCTACGACCTATTGTGGATCCTGACAAATATGCCGAAATGGTTCCAAAGAGGCCAAAAGTTGATCAAACACACTTAAAACAGTCAAGTCCAAGCAAAAACAAAACTATCATTATCCTCGTAGGCCGTGACTATGTGCTGAAATCCTCATTGGCAGACTTGGGAAGGATGGCAGATTACATTTCAAGTCCCCTATACGTAGTGGAAGTTTCCTCAGAGAGAGACTCTTATGAGCGGAGGAAGATATGGCGTGTTCATGCTGAAACAAAAAACAAAAACTTTGAGGAGTCAGTTGTGTCTCAGATATGTGAGGCAGACTGTCCACATGGCTTTCCCCATGTCTGTAAAATGTTTGCCACAGCATATGAAAATGATTGGACTCCGCTTCAAATGCAAATGTTTTTCCAAGCACCACTTGATTTCCTCAGAATGACCTTGGATAAATGTCTTCAAGATATGAGAAAGCGTTCACTGTTCATGGCTATGATTAAAAGAGATGGGAAGATTAGTGGACAAGAGCTGGAAGAGGATGACAGTCTAGGATATGAATGCATAGAAGCTGCTGATGGTTTGGTTGGATCTTACCTCAAGAAGGAAGATGACACTTACATGTTTGATCACCCGTCTATATATGACTGTGTTTCCTTTATTCTCAGTACAAAACTGTCGAAGTTTGTTATCGAAAATTGCAGTTTGTTGTTTATAAATCAACGACTTCGTATTGTACCCTCAAGAGAAAGAGAGAAAACCGTTGCTGGGGAAACAAATCTTGTTGCAAACATCTCATGGACATATGCTGGACATTTAGCAAGAAGATTTGCAACTGAAGTCGAAATGAGCAATTTGTTGCATGTTTTATCACACAAGGCATTTTGTAATTCAGACTTTGTTGACTTGCTAATGGACTGCCTGAAGACACACTGTCGCATGTCTGTTACTGATATCATGAAACTAACTGATAATTCATCCAACCAGTCTTTTTGTGAATTACTTTCCAGCAACAAGTCACACCATCTCATCAAATATATTATGGAGAAAGAAAATATCTCATTCAGCCAGACTGAAGGAAGGGACATTTTATTGGGTGTGTGCACGAATACTGCGAGCAGTGTACTGAAATACATTAGTGGACACATGAAACTTGAGGTAAATGCTAGATACGGTCAGATGAAGAAGACGCCGCTTATGTTAGCAGCAGAAACCAGGGACAGTGTGTTTGTCAATCAGATTATGTCTCTTGACCCTGATCTAAATGCAAGAGACGACGTCAATGAAACTGTGACTGATTATCTTTGTGAAAATGGCCTTGTATCAGCTGTGGAATATGTGATGGACAAAGGTGTAGACGTTAATGGGTCATATGAACATCCCATATACCTTGCGATAGTGGAGGGTCACTTAGAGGTAGTGAAACTGTTAGTTAACAGAGGATGTGATCTAGATCTAGATCTAGGTCTGAAATACGCTCTTTGGAATCGGAAAGAGAAAATGGTGCAGTTCTTATTAAACAGAGGAGCAGAGGTTGACGCTTTTGCAGTGCACGCAGCATGTGAGGTCGGGGAGTTGAATGTCGTCAAGATGTTGTTTGAGAAGGGTGCTACTGTGAACATGAAGGCATATGACGGAAGTACTCCTCTTATGAAATCATGCAAAGGAAACCCTAATGTTGTCTCGTATTTGCTGAAGAAAGGAGCCAGTGTGAACCAAGCTTCAAATGTTACAGGTGATACAGCACTTCATGGAGCAGCAGGGTGGAGATCTGCACAGTGTGTTGATGTGTTACTGAAGGCTGGCGCTGATGTTAATGTACAGAATACAGAAGGTGACACACCACTTCATAAGGGAGCAAATCGGGGATTTACAGAGTGTGCTGATATCTTATTGACGGCTGGAGCTGATGTTAATGTACAGAATAGAAAAGGTGACACACCACTTCATATAACAGCAGTGTGGGGATCTCCAGAGTGTATTGATGTGTTACTGAAGGCTGGGGCTGATGTTAATGTACAGGATACACAAGGTGACACACCACTTCATAGAGCAGCAGGACGTGGATCTGCAGAGTGTGTTGATGTGTTACTGAAGGCTGGCGCTGATGTTAATGTACGGAACAAAAGAAGATGTACACCACTACATGAAGCAACACGGTGGGTATCTATAGAGTGTGTTGATGTGTTACTGAGGGCTGGAGCTGATCTTAATGTTCGGAACAAAGCAAGTGACACACTACTTCACCTAGCAGCAGCGTCAGGATCTACAGAGTGTGTTGATGTGTTTCTCAAGGCTGGAGCTGATGTTAATGTACAGAATAATACAGGTGACACACCACTTCATAAAGCAGCAGCACGTGGATCTGCAGTGTGTGTTGATGTGTTACTGAAGGCTGAAGCTGATGTTAATGTACAGAATAAACAAGGTGACACACCACTTCTTCAAGCAACAGTACGGGCATCTACAATGTGTGTTTATGTGTTATTGAAGGCTGGAGCTGATGTTAATGTACAGAATAATACAGGTGACACACCACTTCATAGAGCCGCATGGGGGAAATTTAGAAAGGGTATTGATATGTTAGTGAAGGCTGGAGCTGATGTTAATGTGAAAAATAATGCAGGTGATACACCACTTCAAAGGGGAGTAGCAGGGCTCCGTTGTAACGAATACACAAGGTGACACGCAATTTCTTAGAGCAGCAGGACGTGGATCCGCAGAGTGTGTTGATGTGTTACTGAAGCTGGGGCTGATGTTAATGTACAGAATAATACAGGTGACACACCACTTCATATAACAGCAGTGTCAGGATCTACAGAGTGTGTTGATGTGTTACTGAAGGCTGGGGCTGATGTTAATGTACAGAATAATACAGGTGACACACCACTTCATATAACAGCAGTGTCAGGATATACAGAGTGTGTTGATGTGTTACTGAAGGCTGGGGCTGATGTTAATGTACAGAATAAACAAGGTGACACGCCACTTCATAGAGCAGCAGGACGTGGATCTGCAGAGTGTGTTGATGTGTTACTGAAGGCTGGAGCTGATCTTAATGTACAGAATAATACAGGTGACACACCACTTCATATAACAGCAGTGTCAGGATCTACAGAGTGTGTTGATGTTTACTGGAGCCTGGCGCTGATGTTAATGTTCGGAACGAAGCAGTTGACACACCGCTTCTTCAAGCAAAAGGACGGGGATCTACAGGGTGTTTTGATGTGTTAGTGAAGGCTGCATGGAGTTTGATGTTGATAAACAGAATAATACAGATACATCCTATTTCATATAGCAGTAGCAGTGCTGGTATCTACAAATAGTGTTCATGTGTTATTGGAGGCTGGAGCTGTTTTTAATTTACACAATTTTGCTCCATGCTAATGTAGTGATGGAAGCTACATTTTGCCAATTAAGAACGAATTCTATGAAGCACGTGCAGTATGTGTGCGCGCTCTTCCTCCTGTCGTGCACCCCTCCGAGTGAGTGAGTTAGTTGGATTTGACGCCGCTTTTAGCAATATTCAAGCAATATCACGGTGGGGGACACCAGAAATGGGCTTCACATATTGTGCCCATTTGGGGAATCAAACACGGTGTGCGGCGTGACGCCCTCCCTTGGGTCAGTGGATAACATCACCACACTGATTGTAATATACAGTGTGTACTTTAATACTGGAATATGTAGGTTTTACTTGCACACAGTGTGTACCTTAATAATGGAATATGTAGGTATTATTGCACACAGTGTGTACTTTAATTCTGGAATATGTACATATTATTGCACACAGTGTCTACTTTCATACTGGAATATGTATGTATTATTGCACACAGTGTGTACTTTAATACTGGAATATGTAGGTATTATTGCACACAGTGTGTACTTTAATACTGGAATATGTAGGTATTATTGCACACAGTGTCTACTTTCATACTGGAATATGTATGTATTATTGCACACAGTGTGTACTTTAATACTGGAATATGTATGTATTATTGCACACAGTGTGTACTTCAATACTCGAATGCGTAGATATTATTGCACACAGTGTGTACTTTCATACTGGAATATGGAGGTATTATTGCACAAAGTGTGTACTTTAATATTGTCATACCTACTTTAATACTCGAATGTGTGGGTATTATTGCACACAGTGTACATTTGAGATGTTTATATGAGTGCTTGTACACTCTTGAATTAACATTATGTTGCAAACCTGTAGTTTGGGGTTTGAATAGTAAATTTTGGCTTCAACGTACAACTCAAGTTTGTAATAAATGTTCAAATATGCAAAACCTCTAATGTGTTTTAGCAATTGAAATGATAATAAATTTTATGTAAGGCTGTATCCATTACATAATATGCTGGAAGAATACCACTGAACATTTCAAATTGGTCTGTTGATGTAATGTTACGAGTTGAATATATTGTCCTTCATAATAATGATAATAATCAGGACATTACTAATAGCGCACTACGGAGGGGCACGATCAATCTGATTATTGTTACCCTGGATAACCCATGCTGCTTGTGAAGCGCTAGAAGGTGAAATCACATGACATCCCACCGGGTACCCACTTTCTGCTGGGTGAACTGAGACAATTTTGAACAAACTCACTTTCCAAAGGTGAGACCACATATATCACATGTGCTTCGTTGTTGGGCAGGGCTGAAGTCCTAGAAACTCTCAAGAGTCAAGCTGCCAAACAATGTCACCCACCCAAGGACTGTCTGACAGACTGCAGCACACACTCCATTAGATGTGATATGGTGTAGACAGTAGTAGTCCTGTATATTCAGGTCTTAGTATTATACATGTTGTTTTATAAATGTTTCAGTGTTGGTTAAAGATTAGGGCAAAACTGATGATTTGTAATGTAGATCATTGTACATTAGTTTTTTTGTTTATTGTTATTAAGACATGTTGCTATAATTTACCACGGTTTGCTTGTATGCACTTTAATACTAGAATTTGTAGCTGTTGTTGCACACAGTGTGCAGTTAAGATGTATATTTTATTGATGGTACATTGTGCATCAATAGTATCTTACAAACATGTACTTTGGGCCAAAGACTTTGAACAGGGGATTTTTACCTCGGTAGTACACAGTACAGAACAAATAGTTTCATTGTACACAAGTACAGTGTTTCCTTTGTCACTGTAACATCATGCTGTTCACAAATATGCAAAATGGTCTAACTAAGCATGTACGTGAAGTATTACATGTTTACAGACTTTCTCTCAGTAGTACAGTACAGTACAATACAGGTAACCTCATAGTACATAAATATGTAAAATAGTCAAATTAAGCATGTATATGAGTGTTACATGTTTACAGATTTTACCTCAGTAGTACAGTACAGTACAAGTGGCCTCCTAGTACACAAGTACAGTGTTTCCTTGATCATATTGTCCCATATCATGCTATTCCCAAATATGTAAAATGGTCACACTAAGCATGTATATGAGTGTTAATGTTTACAGATTTTACTTCAGTAGTACAGTACAGTACAGGTAGCCTCTTAGTACACAAGTACAGTGTTTCCTTGATCATATTGTCCCATATCATGCTATTCCCAAATATGTAAAATGGTCCAAACTAAGCATGTATATGAGTGTTACATGTTTACAGATTTTACCTCGGTAGTACAGTACAGTACAGGTAGCTTCATAGTACACAAGTACAGTGGTTCCTTGATCGCATTGTCAAATTTCATGCTATTCCCAAATATATAAAATGGTCAAACTAAGCATGTATATGAAGTGTTACATGTTTACGGACTTTACCTCAGTAGTACAGTACAGTACAAGTGGCCTCATAGTATACAAGTAGAGTTTCCTTGATCACATTGTCGAATATCATGCTGTTCACAAATATGTAAATGTTCAAACTAAGCATGTATACAAAGTGTTTACATGTTACACAAATCTGATGATAAAAGTTTAATTATTGGCAAATAATGTATGGAAGGAGGACCAGAAGCTAACAAATTTGGCATAATTACAATTTGAAAAAGCTATCATTTTTGTTGCTTCATAATATTTGATGACTTCTGCTTTAATATGTCTAATATTCAGAGTTTGTTTTTTTCTGGATTATTGTGTTTGCCTTTAAATCCAAATATGATATTCTCTAGAGAAAAATTCATTCCACCCTCTGAAACAGTTCTAAGCCATTTTTCTACTTCCTTCCATATCTCTTTCACATGAAAGCATTCGAACAGCAGGCGTACCATGGTTTCTGAATCTTGTCCACAGAATGTACATAAGTGTGATTCAGATATTCCTATCTTGTACAAGAAGCTATTTGTTGCTAAAATATTATTCACTATTTTAAATTGGAACCATCTCATATTCACACTCTCAGTACATCTATAAGACATCAGATTAATATTTTCTTGTTCTGATCTATCAATTATCTCTCCCTGCTCTATCCATTTAGCTTTTGACCTTACAAAGGAACCTTTGGTTTTTAATAAATTAATTTCTTCTAACTTTTCTTTGGCTTCATTAATTCTTTTCACTAGTTCTTCTTTTTCATACAGGTGACTACTTTCATCTAGTTGTATTTCTAATTTCTCAATGTCTTTTTCTAGCCGTAGTTCATTTTCCTTACTCTTTTTCCTTTTTGTAGCTGAGTACCAAATAGTAATTCCTCTTATTTCCATTATAATAATTTCCCAAAGCAGCTGATCATTTATAGTGTATATATTTTCACCCTTCTCTGGCGTTTTATAAACATTAATTACTTTACCTATTGTATCTTTAACTTTTCTTATGTATTCTTTATCTTTTAAGAGAGAGTTGTTAAATTTCCAAAACCCTTTCCCCCTGCTTAACTCTGTTGTTGTTAATGTTATGGATATAATTGAGTGATCTGTACATATACTAGGAATTATTTCCGTTTCGTGAACTGCGTTCATTATATTGTGTGAAACTAAAAAAAAATCAAGACGTGCTTGTTTAATAGGTGTGGGTTGTCGCCAGGTAAATCTTAGACTACTCGGATGCATTTCCCTCCAGGGATCCTTGAGATTCATTATACCGGTATCTACAATTTCTAATACTTCTTTCCGAGCCCCAGGATTATTGATGTGTTTATAATTATATGTATCCATATCGCTATCCATGACTAAATTCCAATCACCGCAAAAAATAATTTTTTCAGTGTCATTCTTATTTGCTAGCTCTTCTGCCCTTTCCTTCACATGTTTGTAGAATTCAGGTTTGTCCTGGTTAGGGCCATATACATTGAACAGAGTATAAATAAATTCATTTATTTTTATATTTAACCCCACAAAGTTTCCTTCTTTATTATCATATGTAGTATTTAAGACTGAAAATTCAAAGTTATTATTAAACAAGATAGCTGTCCCTCTTTCGTTGGTTTTGTAAGTGTTAATATAACATTCTTTATTGCCCCATTGCTGTTTTATCAATTGTTCCTGATCTCTGGTAAAGTGGACATCCTGTAAACAGAATATTTGGGCTCTTCTTCCTTAGAAACCGAAAAAAATTTTTTCTCTTAAGTACATTGTTCAATCCCCTACAGTTCATAGATAAAATCTTGAACTTTTTATTACCTTCCATTTCAGTCATGTACTACATTATATTTTATGTCTATATAGTAAGGATATGCAGATATTTTTCATATACACTGCATAATGCTTATTTTCTACCC